TTAAAAACCATTATGTTAACTTTCACCAATTCATTAGAAATATAACAAACATATAAGAGTATCATATAATATTTCTCACGTTACAATAATATATTGTTCTATGAATATATAATAACACATATTGTTTTATGTTCAATACATATATTATAATATCCTAAGTTATATATATATATATATATATATATATATATATATATATATATATATATTATTCCTCACATTACAACAAAAATAATTATTTTTATGATTTTGACTCTTATCTATTCTTTTAGTCATAAATTTTTGTACAAATATATAATTTTTGACAAATTCTTATTTCATTGGATTCCTTATTTCTAGATCTTCAATTTTTATATATGGAACATTAAATTTAGAATTCGAAGCTATTTTTTATGATTTTTAAAAATTTTGACAAGAATTTTTTTCAAAAAATCACCTTTCAAATGAAAGTATTTTCGCTTGAGTGATACTCACTTTCGCTTAAATGATAAATATTTGGCTTCTAATCAAATCTAGGTAGTTAATTTGTGAGAGATGTATTTCTTCTCTATTTCACAATAAATTTTGTCATTAATCAGTCGTCCAATCTTTCTCTAAGTGACATGATGAAGTTTCATACTTTCCTTACTAATTAGTTATACACATTTCTCCTTATTTCTAGTATAAAATTATCATCCCTCACTAATGTGTCATTTGTGTATTCTCACTAATTTGTAATAATTTGTTGACATTTTTATCATCATTATAATATTAAATAATTTTCATTACTACAACTACAATACCTACATATTTTTATTAAAAAAATTAAAATATAGAATTTAAAATTAAAAAAGAATAAAATGGATAACTTTCGATAAAAAATATTTATTCAAACATAATCAGAATAATCTTTCAAATATTTAAAGCATTAACTAAAATATGTATCAATTACAATGTTTTAAAACTTACTAGATCAAATTCATTATTGTTTTTTTATTTTTTTGCAACATACAATAGATCGTTCTTAAAACATTTTATTTTTTTCTTATATTTGTTGTTGATATATCTGTGCCCTTATCTATGTATGCTTACATATCGTGCCAGCAAATATGTTTTCACATTGTTTTACAAATTAGATATTTATGTAACTAATGTAATCATTCCATCATATCATGTAACAATGAATTTAGTATATAATATAAGAAGTACACGCATAAATAAGGAAGGTGAAGAAAGTAAAAAGAAAAAAAAATATTAATTATAAATTTCAGTAAGTTTTGAGTCTTAAATTTATATATAAACAATTTCTACAATTATTTCATGTTTTTTTTCATAAATTAATTTTAAATAGTTTAATCCATTATAAAAATAGCAATGCATGAAATTATAATGTCACTGGCTTATGATAAATTAAATAATTACATTAATGAAATAAATAAATAAATTTGTATACCTTAAAGAAATACAACTTTTACTATTTTATAATTCAATAATTTGTAAATTAGTATTTATTAAAAATTATTTAAAAACTTCATAATAAGAGTTCATTATCTAATTAAAATAAATAAATAAATAAATCTAAAAATCTGTTCTAATATTAGCTTATTTCAAAGAAATACAAAAAAATATTATATGTATGTTTTTAGTGATCAAAATTAACTGACTGTTAAAACTTTTTAATTACACTTACAATGTGAAGGGATGATAATGTGGGATGAGTTGTATGGCCTGAAATGTAATTTTGTAATGAAAAATGTTGGGTAGATATACATTTCAACCCACAAAGTGTATAGGTCCATCCCACGTAACCTAGTTTAAATGAGCCGAATTGCGGGGGTGGGGTAGACCAACATGCACACTCGCATAAAAAAATAAAATAAAATCAATTTCCATGTCATTTCCATATTCACTTGACACACTATTATGTGTTAGTTTAGGACTAACTATTAGGGATATATTTTTTCTTTTGTTATGTTTTTAATTTGATTTTAATATTGAGATTATAATCTGATACTGAATTATTTAAAACAATATGAAAAACAAGTAAAAGAATAAAGAAGTTAGGGACAAAATTCAACAAGAAAACGAAACTAAAAATGAAATATTTAATTAAAATTTATAATAATTAAATTTAGAAAAATTATTATATTTTATTTTGATTTTTATAATTTAAATTTAAAAAAATAACAATAATTCATATATATAGTGTCTCAAATTTTTATTCTTTAATTAAATCAAATTAATTTGTAGGTTCATAATTATATAAAACGAGTCAATAATTTTACGTGGATTAGTCCGTCTCATCTTATTTATTTAAGTTGCTTGTTCACCTGAATTTTTTTAATCATCATATTATAATAACATGGGGATACTTTTTAAAAATAAATAATTCAAAATTCAATAAGATATAATAATATTTTAGAATGAGGAAGACAATTTGGAGTAAAAAAGAATTCAAGATTTGAGTGATTTTCGGTTGGACAAAGACTATATTAGATGATTAAAAGAATGAGATTTTTGGATTATGAGAAGTGAGACATTGATTTAGGGTTAAGGTAGATGTGATTAGGTTTTAGAAATGAGACGCGTAGCAATTGTAATTTATTTTTAATTTCTTGTCTATGAATTAAACGGGTAGGTTATGAAAATTTACATATAGTGAAGTTAAAACATGTAGACTTACCGTTTTCTTTATAATTTATAAGATTATATGAATGTACATTAATTGGAAGAGTCTAAACAATTTTTTAAATTTGCTTTTATAAATTTTTATTCTTAGAAGAATATAGGATATACCCACTTAAATCTTTCATGAATAATTTTTTTTATTGTAAAATATATTTATTTTGCATGTTAGTATATAATTTTTTCAAAAATAATATGTCAAAAAAATATATTCTCTCTTCATTCCATTTAAAAAAAAAAAGTTCTTTCTCACATTGAATATAAATAAAAGTAGGAATTTTTTTTTAAATTAAATAAGTTATTTATGAAAGCAATGAGGGGAGATTGATGGTAATGTGAAATATGTCCCTACATTCTTAAGAGATGATTTTGATGATGATTCAAGTCAACAACATTCAAAAATCAAGCAAGTCCAATATATGATTTTGATAAAAATTATATTCAACATTCAAGCAAACCTAAGATGATTACTGAAGACTAGATAGAGTCTTAGAATACTAGATATGGAGGTACAAGTTGATGAAGTAATATTATGCATAAGCCTACAAAACACAAGTGTGATAAAATTTTGTAACATGACATTTTTCACTATCATAATTGATTATGATGCATCAGAATTGAAAAATTGATTTTTACCCCGACATAATCGATTATGCTGAGGAGATAATAGATTATGACAGTTCGAAATTCAAAAATATATCTGTTTTGAAGTATAAATATTTTTGAATATATCCTGATTTTTATCTACAAAAATATTAATGTCCAACGAAAATTTTATGATGTTATTTTTCTATTTAATTAAGTTTTGATAGAAAATAAAAAACACACAATTATAGAATTCGAAAATACAATTTACATTCAATCAGGTTTGAGAAAAGAATTCTGAGCAAGACAACATAGATATTTTACCAAAACCCTCTTCTCCATTGTCTACTGTGTTTTCATTGTTAATCACACTTGTTCTTGGAAGTTGACATTCTACTTGTTTCTACAATTTTTTGTCTCCATTACCCAGGTGTGACTGTTCTTATTTTATTACTTTCATCCTTTGTGGGCTTAAGTGGTTGATTGTTAAATTTCTTGTTTAGGGTTTAAGTAGTCACTGTCATTCTGTTGTGTTTTTTTTGTTTTCTGTGTGGAAACTGTTCATCCCTTTGATTTGTTCAGGGAGGTGTTTTCATCCTTTGATTTGTTCAGAGGAGGTGCTCATCCCAAGTGAGATTCTAGGGAGGTGTTCATCCTTAGTGGGATTCTAAAGAGGTGTTTTCATCCTTTGATTTGTTCAGAGGAGGTGTTCATCCCTAGTGGGATTCTAGGGAAGTGTTCATCCTTAGTGGGTTTCTAAGGAGGTGATTGTCTTTTGAATTAGTTTATTTTTTGCTGAGTTGATTGTAATTTGTAAACTGAATTTAAAAGATAGTGAATTGAGATCACTCTTGTGTTAAGAGTTGACTGAGAACTGGATGTAGGGTTGATTATACCCGAACCAGTATAAACCATTGTGTGCTCTTCTCTTTCGTTTATCTCTTTTTTACTGCATTACTCTCCTTACTCCCCTTATTTTTATCTTTATCTTTGTCTATCTTGTTGATATTTTATCTCTCAGATTATATTGCTTCCGCTTTATCTTTGTTCAATTTGATAATTAAAATTAAATTAATAAATATTGGACATCTTAAAATAAATTTTTAATTTGACATTTATTTAATTTGTGGATCTATTTACCCCCTGTAGATATCATTTATCTAACAACTTAATTATCAATTAATATCTCATACATATTTTAAAATATAAAAAAATTATAAAACATATTATTCCATATAAGTTGCTAATTGTGAGGTCAATTTATTTTCTTCTCAAAACTAAATTTTATACTCTCTTATGTAATCTATCCATTTAATATAAAATTAATTTCAAAAAACACATCCCATAATTAGTAATCCACTACAGATCTCTTTATTATCAAGACTTAATTATTAATAATTAATTAAAAAAACATCATATATACATCTCTTAATCATATGTTATAATTAATTCTTAATTAAATTTGTATTAATACACATGTGATCATCATCAATTATAAATATCATAGTTGTCAAACCATACTTTATAGTTAATTATTAATTAAAAGAAAATGGTATCATATACACGTCATATTATAATTACTACTAATAAAAAAATTATTATTAGGTCTAACTTTTTAATTAGTCATATTATAATTACTAGTACTTAAATATCTTCGTATTGTTATATTTTACTTTTTTTATTTTATACTAAACATCACCCTATAAATTAAATTATGTTCAAGTAACTCATCCATTCTCTAATATTCTCAATCACACAATAGCTTCAACCTTGAACAACCAATAATCCAGGACCAACTCCACTTCATTATCAGCCACAACATCAGATGCACCCTCTACGTCTAATTTTTGACAAATCATATATAAAACTATATCACGATCTTTTGGCATTTCTCACCATGCAATTTTGGGAAATTTCTGGTAAGCACATGAGAGTAAGATAGCTTTACACCAAGTGGAGGAACCCATCATATGTAGTTAACGTGTGATTGTCCAGAATCTGATTGGGAACGGGATTTACCCTCTTCCTCGAGGTTTTAATTCACCCTTAGTGCTTGATGCATGCACAGACATAAGCATTCATTGCTAGCTTTTCCTCACCCCATGAACAGTTTCACTATCACTATTTATGATTGTTTTTGTTATTGATATACAGTAACCAGATAAGGGAGAACGCTTTCAAACCCCCCAAGTGAAATGGATTAAGATTTGGCAGGAGATTATGTATCTAATGATATAAATGATCAAATTATAATATATCAGAATTTATCTTAATGAGATTTATAAATCTATCACTTTAATTGTTTCGAGACACTTATTAGATCATCTTAATGCTTAATTTCACTCTTTCCAGGTATTCTTCGGCTTGACAAAATATTACAGATTCCAATATTGATAGAAGATATAATAGGTAAAAATCTTATTTTTAAAAACAAAGGAAACCAATTTTGTTTGGTGAATTACCCTTTCAAATTTCTACTAAAGCAGGGTTCAAAATGATTTGGTTTTGTAGTATAAGATTTCCTGTCATCATTACTTCTGATAAACGTATATACACACTTAATTGTGTCTACTATTCTCAACATTTTCTGTCACTGAAACCGATGAAAAGAAAACAGTATATTTTGTTGACTAAATTATATCAGCAAATATTATAATCTGCCTTACGTTTACAACAATTTTATTGTTTCAACCAATTAAGAAGAGTTTCTGGAGTATTGTCAAGATAATGAATAGAGTTTCTGTAAATGTCTAAAGAAGATGTTCCATCCACGTCTTTTTTACAAAGATAAACTTATAAATATATTAAACCCTAACTTGGAATTTGGAACAGTATTGAAATAGTATGATAAAGCAAACATGGCACAAAGTTTGCTTCTCTTGTGATGGAAGCCCATGCTTGAGGTGGGATCCGCCACCACCAACACCTTGCCTTAACTCATCCATCTCTTGAGACAATGGCCACACTGAAGAGAGGTACATGAGCAATACATGGAAAGAAACCCTGTCTAGGAAAAGAGGTACTATTTTTCTCGTGTGCTCAAATTATGAGTAATGGTGACAGCAAAAGAAACCATAAGCGCACAATCTGCGTTCTTCATCATGTCCACCTCCATCAAACAAAAATTCTCTTCCTCGTCTCATTTTAAACATGTTTGTTCAATGATGTTTGGATAATGTCTTCCATCCACCTGTTTTCCTATTCCATCTCTGCAATTATTATATATGTCTTTGGAGAGTTAACCATTTATATCTATCTATACATGTTAACTTTTCTTTCATTCCTCACGTTTTTATTATTGCAAAGGGTTGGTTAATTATGTGGCTTCACTGACACTTCATATGTCAACACTAACGAATTTGGTGCGATTTGAACTAATGGTTAAATATTTTACTTACTTTTAATCCTCCAAAACATTCGTGTTAATTGTTGGTGTGTTCTTAATTTAATTTTAGTGTGGAAATTGTGAAAGAGAAAGTGAATTTTGGGTAATAAAATAAATATTGAAAACTTATTTTAAATCACAAATATAATTAAAGACATGTACCTATTTCCGATAGTGAATATCCTGTAGTGGGGTGGATCTTGAATTTTGTGAATTAAACTTACGATGGCTTTAGAAAACATTCCAGCACACACAAACGCTTGTGTTTAGTGATTCTTATACGAGAAGACAAAAGGCCTAATAGTGATTCTTATCCATGTTAATGCTTATTTCCATAAGAATGTAGTGGCAGCAGTACTTTTTGGTGACTTGAATGGTCCTAAAGCACTATATATTATGCTACAGCCTCACCAATACCACGTGCTTAAATTACTTCTATGAATATGATGTCTTGTGGTGTTCAATTTAGATAATGGATCGAAACAATTTGTAACTGAAAGATTCTATTTTGCATGTTTTCATTCTCATTTTCATATATCAATGAGTATATATTTTGATTAGTGTTCCATGACCTAATGTTTGTTGTTTCATTACAATATTGAATGAATGAAAATAATTCAAAAGAATTGTTATTAATTAAATAGGCAATTTGGATTTTAGTATACTCAAATGAGATTAACTTCAATTTATATATATATATATATATAATGTTTATGTTTATAAATAATTTATAAAAAAATTATTAAATATTTTATAATAAAATTTGTTAAAAATTACATGTTGTGGTTTTTTTATAATTATTTTCATATTTTTAATTTTTAATATTTTCTAATATTCACAAATAAATTATACAACTTTATAATTAAAACAAATTAATACAAATTTAGTATCGTATTTTTTATATACATAAATATATTATAAATACAATATAAATACAAAATATGCTTTCAACGTCGCCATTTAACGTCGGTTCTTCCTGAACCGACGTTGAATGACATTCAACGTCGGTTCGGATGAACCGACGTTGAAAGTTGACATTCAACGTCGGTTCCAGATGAACCGACTTTGAATGTGTTTTCACCAAAAATTCTTTTAAGTTAGAGAATTGTCACTTAGCAGGATTCGAACCCAAGTACTTTAAAGTTGAAAGTTGATACTCCAACCACTAAACTACTGTAATTTTCTCGATAATAACTTACAAATTAATTATATTTATATACAAATAAATATATATTCCGTATAAATATATATTTATTTATATTTTCTGGAAAGTGTTTTTATTTTTTTCAACCAAAAATTCATTTAAGTTAGAGAATTGTCACTGACAGGATTTGAACCTAGTATTTTAGAATTGAAAGCTAATACTCCAACCACTAAACTACTGTAATCTTCCGATAATAACTTACGGATAAATTATATTTATATACAAATAAATATATATCCGTGTAAATATATATTTATTTATATATATTTTCTGGAAAGTGTTTTTATTTTTTTCAGTAAAAAATTCACTTAAGTTAGAGAATTGTCACCGATAGGATTCGAATATAGTATTTTACAGTTGAAAATTAATACTCCAACCACTAAACTACTATAATTTTTTGATAATAATTTACAAATAAATTATATTTATATACAAATAAATATATATCCGTGTAAATATATAAATACAAATATATTTATATATTTTTATGTTGGATGTGAGGGCGCGATCGAGGGTGAAAGTGAGATTGACTCTCGTTTGAGTGAAAATACGTTAAAGCTCACAGAAATTCACTCGTTCAAGCCTAGCTTGAGCGAAAATTGGTATTTTTCGCTTGAGCGAATGTGTCACTTGAGCGAATGATGCGTTTTTCAAATTTATTTTATATCATTATATAAATAAATTATAAATATTATATTCTGTCATTAAATTACAAACCCATATATAGAGACTCGCTCACAAATTTGGCATTAAATTTTGAAAACCCACTCGACACACACTTTCACCTTCGAGCGTACCCTCACATCCAATATATAAATATATAATTATATAAATATATCAAAATATATAAATATATTTGTATTTATATATTTACACGGATATATATTTATTTGTATATAAATATAATTTATTTGTAACTTACTATCAAAAAATTCGAGTAGTTTAGTGGTTGGAGTATCGACCTCCAACACTAAGGTACTGGGTTCGAATCCTCGCTTTAAACTTAAAAAAAATATGATAAATAATAAAAATATAATATAAAAGAGAGGGGGATTTCTAGATAAATAGAGGGGTTGGAAAGGTTGGAAATAAATAAAAAAATTTAATTTGAAAAATCGGACTTTCAACGTCACTCGATACAACGCTCGGTTCGACGTTGAAGGCCTTATTTGTAGTAGTGTACAATACAATATAATGATTATAAGTAAGATTTTAAATTGATTGCTGGAGAGTAACTTTATAAAGATTACTTTTGATTTGACCATTTTTAATTTTTAGTCTAAGTGTTTATCCATGGTTAAGATATGGCATGATAACATAGATACAAAAGCGAATAAGCATAAGATACGATAGGATTAGGAATTCCGTCCAATCGACTAGTCTGAAAAGTTTGATTAGAAAAAACAAAATTACAGTGTAAATTGAATAAATTTATTTTAGTTTCACTTATTTAGGTTATGGTGTAACACCTCAATAAAAAAAATTATAATATTTTAGATAATTTAAATCATTTTATATTAAAATACTATTTATATAAAAATTATTATTATTATTATTATTAAACTATTAAAAAAATTAATAATTTAAAATATTTTTAAAAAAAGTTATTAATTATTAAAATAAAATTTTTTAATTAATTATTGATTGTTATAAAAAAATTATTATTAAAAAAATTAAAAGATAGATGATAAGCTTGGTTTGAAAAAAAAATCAAACTTGCAGTGAAAAAAAAAGTAAATAAAATATAGAGATAAGAATGTTTGACGAAGGAATAGAAAAGAAGAAGAAGAGGGAAAGGAAGAAGGAAAGAAACAGGGCAAAAGGGAAAAGATGAAGAAAAAAGAAAAAAATAAGGGAAAATATATAAGTAATTTTGGGAAGATTTTGAGTATCATACAATTATTATTAAGGCTGGGAAATAAAACATTTTTTATTCTATTTATTTTTAGTTTCTTATTTTATATATCTTTAGTTACATAATAGTTTTATTATATTTGTTTATTCACTTAATTAATCTTTCTTAAATTGATATTTATCTTTAATTTTGTATTGGTTATTGTTTCTTAATTTTTATTTATATTATTTAATTTTTTAAAATAATAATATTTATTTATGATGATATTGTAGATTGACAAGCATTATTGATAAATCAATTACTTTTAAAGAAAAAATATTTTCCAATTTTAATAATTGTTTATAATATAAAAATAATGTAAACTTGGAAACTTTATATATTTATTTATATACTTATTTTTATCGAGGTTTAATATAAAATAATTATCTCTTAAAATATAATTAAATTAATAATTTGATAAAAAAGACATTAGGTTACATAGATTAATTCGTTTTAAAGAATAATAATTATTTTTAAATAAAAATAATATTATTATTTTATTAGAATATATATATATATATATATATATATTATAAACTAATTTGATAAAAAATTAACTTAATTATTCTAAGAATAAATATTAGAATAAGTATTTATTCCAAGATCAAATAATTCAAATTTATTATTATTTTAAATTAATAAATTATTAAAAAATAAATAAATGATAACAGAGAATAAATTTTTATTTTTTATTGAAGTGAGGGAATGTATTTTTCTATAATTTATATATTAAATAAAACTAATTTCATTAAAATAATATATTCTTTTATTTTCATTTAAATATTTTTAATTAATTGATTTGATATATATATATATATATATATATATATATTTTTTTAATTTTAATTAGGTCAATATTGACATGTTATTCTTTTAGACTAATATAAGGACATTATTAGGTTAAAACTTTTAATCGGTTTTAAAATATAGGTTGTATTAGATATCAAATTTTTTTACTTGACTCATAAGGACTCCTTAGACTAGATTAGAACGCCGATTTTGACAACTTTAAATAAGATAAAAATAAGATAAGTATTAACATTATCTAATATTTCTTCCCCATTAATATAAAAACCAAATAACATACATGATAAAAATAGTGTTAATAACAACAATAAATATCAAGAATGATAATCAATAGATCCATAGTGATAATGAAGTATCATGTAATGATCATGATTATGGTAATTGTTATTGTAAAGAGGATGTGGGAAGACGATAATGGTAATTGAAATAAGAATAATTAGAATGAGAATAAGAAAGTGGTAAAATGATAACCACAATAATAAAAAAAGATTTTTTATATAAGTTATTTAATTATTTTATATTAATGATATAAAATCGATATAAATATCCTAGAAAACTTGGTTTTTAGTCAACGTAAAAAAAAATTGACATATTATGTTATGATATTATTAACTTAGGCAGTATGTTTTGTATTTTGAAAAAACAACAACAAAAAAAAATCTATATAAGTTGTAGATAATTACCAATTCAAAAGGTCACAATTTCATATTCAAAATTAGTATTATCAATTTTCATTTTCAAACTTATTTGTTTATCATTGTTGGAAAAAAAATCAAACAAATTTATAAATACATGGTTTATTCTAAGTGGAAAATGATCTCAATTGTTTTTTTTTTTTTTCAATTCTCGTAGT